AGGCATTGTCTCCTCCGATGACGGAAATCTTGAATCGTCTACGCTCTTTTGGAGAGTTTGAGGTAAAACTGAGCTGCGATTTTACGAATGCCGAGTTTTTTTATTCGTCTCTGTGCGGCGTAGATCATCAACTTCGGAGATAAAGTCATTCTCGAGGAGCCCGTGGAAGAGTTAAGTCGCAAAGTTTGACATTGCTTGTTCTTAACGTTTTTTTCTTTTCTCCAGATGGCCCGTGTGTGATTGCCTCATCGCATTTTATTCGTCTGGTTTTCCCTTGCAAAAGGCAGAAGCATACGCGCGATTGAGAAAGTGAGTATCGTTTTCTTTTTTCTTTTCTTTTTTCTCTACTTTTTTCAGATTGTCAAAAGGTGCTTATCATTTCAGGCCTTTTCTTGTTAATGAATTGGAACCCCAGCATCTTTTGCATGACAGGCGCAAAGTTTATTCGGTACGTTTCCTTCTTTTTTACTCTCTTTATTGGTGAAGGGACTACAACTTTTTTCGTTCTCGTTGTGTGTAGCGGCTGGAAGAATATGGGATAACCATTCCAAACTATGCTTTGGTGAATAGAGAGTTTCCAAACCAGGAACTGGAATATTTCTCGGAGGAAGAGGATTACATCGAAGTGAATGGCAAAAGAATTTTTAAGCCATTTGTTGAAAAGCCTGTGAATGGTGCGTATAGAACTTCATATATACAGGTTTCACTAAAGTGGCTATGCAAGCAGGAGATAATCACAGCGTCATGATCTACTATCCTAGCGCTGCTGGCGGTGGAATGAAAGAGCTTTTCCGCAAGGTGATGAAGCATTAAGCAAAATGTAACCTCTTACCCGATGTATTAATGCCGCAGATTGGAAATCGTTCAAGTGAGTTTCATCCCGAGATAAGACGAGTTCGAAGAGAAGGCTCTTATATCTATGAGGAGTTTATGCCAACTGGGGGAACAGATGTCAAGGTAGACAACTCAACTTCTTGTTCTTAGCAGTCGCCTCTTCTGAACTGCAGGTATACACTGTTGGACCAGAATATGCTCATGCTGAGGCACGAAAATCACCTGTTGTTGACGGGGTTGTTTTGAGAAGTCCTGATGGAAAAGAGGTACAAGAAGTTCGTTTGTTTCCTAATTCTTAAAATAGCTTGGCACAGATACGATACCCAGTACTACTGACGCCAGCCGAGAAGCAGATGGCCCGAGAAGTCTGTGTGTCTTTTGGCCAAGCAGTAAGTACATTTGGTAACTTCCAAGTGGAAGAGTTCTCATTTTAACGGTTTTGGCAGGTGTGTGGTTTTGACCTCTTGCGATCTCAAGGGAGGTCTTATGTTTGCGATGTCAATGGATGGAGTTTTGTAAAAAACTCGTACAAGTAGGCAATGTTGTCCATGTTAAACTTGCTGCAACTTGCTTTCCTAGGTACTACGATGACGCTGCATGTGTTTTAAGAACCATGTTTTTGGAGGCTAAGGCACCACACCTTTCAAAGATTCCGCCCTGCCTCTCCTGGAGCGAACCCAGGCCACTTGAATTACCACGACAGGGAAGTAGCGTGATGTCCGGTACTTTTGGACAATCCGAGGAGTTGCGCTGTGTCATAGCCGTCTTACGCCAGTAAGTGTTCCTTTTCTGCCTCCATTGTGCTCACTTGTCAGCTGTCAGTGGTGATCGGACCCCCAAGCAGAAAGTAAAAATGAAAGTCACGCAAGATAGGTTACTGAACTTAATGCTAAAATATAACGGCGGAAGACCAAGAGCGGAGGTAAGCTAGCTCAAAAACTTTAATATGATTTGCTAATGCTTTCTATGCAGGCAAAGCTGAAAAGCGCTGTTCAATTGCAAGATCTTCTGGATGCTACAAGAATGCTTGTACCAAGAGCAAGGTTTGAGTTAGATCTTTTCCCTTAGCGCCTGAGGATTCTTATACTTGCATATGATGTTTCAAGATCTGGAAAGGAAAGCGACAGTGAGGCTGAGGACCTTGAACATGCAGAAAAATTGCGACACGTCAAGGCAGTTTTGGAAGAGGTACATACTAATTGTTGGTACTGACTTGTTCTAATAACTTGTTCTAATAGGGTGGCCATTTTTCTGGGATTTACCGGAAAGTGCAACTTAAGCCTCAAAAGTGGCAGGAAGCCACAGATGGTGAAGAGGAAAGACCAACTGAGGCGCTTATGGTTCTGAAGTACGGTGGTGTTCTTACACACGCCGGAAGGAAACAGGTTCGATGTGTAATGAATTTTACATATTCTCACTTTGCTGCTTCCAGGCCGAAGAGCTTGGACGTTCTTTTCGGAACACTATGTATCCAGGTAGAGTTTAACTATAGCCTTAACCGAATTTTCATTGTTCAGTTTTTGCAGGGGAGGGAACTGGATTGCTTCGTCTGCATAGCACTTATCGTCACGATTTAAAGATCTATAGCTCGGATGAAGGGCGGGTGCAGGTGATGGTTTTTCTCCTTTTCGTTCTTATGCAGATGTAACATGGTAATGGGTACCAGATGTCATCTGCAGCCTTTGCAAAAGGTCTTCTTGATTTAGAGGGCCCCCTGACGCCTATCCTGGTACTATAACTTTGCAGTGACATTATATGGCCTCACCATCTTTTGGCAGGTTTCGCTTGTAAGCAAAGATTCACCAATGCTTGATGGACTAGATACAGCCAGTATCGAAATGGAGGAGGCGAAGGTAAAATGATAGTGGTTGATGTATGCTTTAACAGTTTGCTTGCAGGCCAAGCTGTACGAAATCATGATGGCTGGCCAATCATGCTGCGAATGCACAAATGAGCCTTGGATGGTAGATGGCGCTGGACTACCTCCCAACGCTCTGGAGTTGATGAAGGAAATGGTATTGCTTTCCTGTGTTTAGAACAATCTCAGCATTGACCCGAGTTTTATAGGTACATCTGACAAAGAAAATTACCGCACAAGTCAAGCTCCTCTGCAAGGCGGAAGAGGAGCGGCTGGCCGATGGTTTAAATGAAGAAATACCTCCATACGATCAAGCCAGGGCTTTGGGGAAGACGAACATGGATGTGGACCGAATTTCTGCCGGTTTGCCTTGCGGCAGTGAAGGCTTTCTTCTTATGTATGCACGTTGGAAGAAACTCGAGCGTGACATATATAATGAGCGTAAAGAGTAAGTGGAATATTAGTGTTATCAGACGTGAGGCGAATTTTCTGATTTGCAGGCGCTACGACATAAGCAAGGTTCCGGATGTGTACGATTCTTCCAAGTAAGGAATGTTCCTTTGACTGCATTATATCTTTCTCACGATTTCTCGCAGGTACGATCTTCTACACAATGCTCATCTAAAACTGGATGGTCTCGAAGACCTTTACACGGTGGCAAAGGTGCAATGTCAAAACAGATTTAAGGAATGCTAAATTCGTGTTCGCATGTGTCCAATACAGGCCTTAGCAGATGGAGTCATACCGAATGAATATGGTATAAACCCAAAGCACAAACTGAAAATTGGATCGAAGGTACTGCTTATTGATACTTTATACGCGTTTTAATCACTCTCCTGCTTCCTTTGTACCTAGATTTGCCGTCGATTGCTGGGGAAGATTTTGATAGATCTGAGGAACACCAGAGAAGAGGCTATCAGTGTTGCAGAGTTGAAAAACGAAGAAGTTAAAATAAATCCAGATTCTGTTGGCCCACCCAAGGGGAAACATGAGGAGGACAATAAGTCTCAAAAATCTAGTGTGAAGAGTGATTCTCGGAGGTCCAGTTTGACGAGTGAGAAGTCTAATACAGACGATCACGACGACAAAGAAACGCAATATCGCCTCGATCCAAAGTAAGTTTTTTCTTTCGTTTTCTCTTTGGATCGCTGTAAACCACTTTGATGTTTCTACACAGATACGCAAATGTTAAAACACCTGAAAGGCACGTCCGCACTCGGCTGTACTTCACTTCGGTACGCTCCTTTTGTGCTCGTCAATTTCTAACTTGGCTGTTGCCGCTTTGATATCTAGGAATCCCATATACACTCGCTGATAAACGTGCTACGTTACTGCCATCTCGACGATTCGTTGGAAGGAGAACCTCCACTTGTATCAACTGAGGCGCTGGAGGAGATTTTTGAGACGAAAGAGCTTGACTACTTGACTCACGTCGTCCTACGGCTTTACGAAAACACGGAGGTAAACGAATTTCACCTTTGTTTTGCTGTGGACTTACACTTCTTTCATTTACTAAAACGCAGGTAGCGCTGGAAAGTCCTCGGCGATTTAGAATCGAGATTATGTTTAGCTGTGGTGCCGCTTTGAGTCCTTTGGAGGTACATTTCTTGTGACAGAAGTTTAGAGCGGTGCTAATGCGAGATATATGATCCAGGCATCTCCACGGTTTCGGGATCACACACTCCCGGTGCTGTCGCCCTCAACACTCCAGGAGGAGGGAGCTTTCCTGTCCTTGAACAGGCTGGAGAAGATGATCCGAGCGTTTGCCATGCCGGCGGAGGACTTCCCTCCGGCAACAACGCCGCAAGGATTCTCGGGGCTCTTCGTCAAAGGAGGTGGTGTTCTCGAGCGCCTTGCTAGCCTGTGGCCGTTTAATAAGAACGCCAACCTGAAAGCCTGAGATATGATTGACAAGCTCTTCCACCGTTCCGATGACTTGACAACATCAAAGTAAAGTTTTGACAACGAGGAACAAACAGTAAGTCTGGTCGGTAAGAGGCTGATTTGCGAGTGACGGTCGAGGATGGTCTGGTTTTCTCTTTACCTTCCGACTAATCTATAGTTTTTGTAGGCTTAGATATCATCTAAGTCCTTGAACTGGTGCCAAAACTTTCCCAACTGGCTAGTTCGCTCAAGAGGAGGTACTGTTAATTTGCTTGCTTGTTCTTGAGAGGCTTTTCTTGGTTTTCTTGTCTCTGTATTGTTGAGCTGTCGGGAAATTTATAGCTTGTTCTTGGCGTTTGCAGGGAAATTTATGGCAGCAAGGTCTAACTTTCCACCCAAGTGCTTACACTTCAAGCGCTAGAAATTTTGTAAATGTAAAGTGCGGTTTAAGTTCTTTCGAATATAACCACCTCTTGCTTAAGTTTATATTCCACCTTTTGCTTAAGTTCATATTCTAAGCTTAATATATAAACTACGACCACGAACTTAGCAAGGCAATCTGGCATGGGCGTGTGGGACGAGTGGAAGAGATCTCTCAAAGCAGACCTCAAGTCCGGTAATCCATCGTCAACGTCCATCCCGCACTCAAGTAAGACTCGACACACTCCAGCCTTCCGAGCGCTGCAAGCACTGCGGAGAACCGTATACCCCCCTGGTTCCACGTTGATATTGCTGGCCGCCATTCACAAGATCTCTTCATCCTCATTCGAGAAGGCCGCTCTGGCGAGCGGGCAAAAACCATCGTAAGTCGGCAGCGTTGGATCGGCCCCAGCGGCTATCAGCAGTTTGACACTCGCCAATTCTATTCGATTCAGCGCAGCGATGAGGGGGAGCCAGCCCTCCGGCGAGGTCCGGCTGGGATCCATATGAGGGAGCTTGAGCAAGAGCTCCAGATGCTCGGGATCGCGAGCGTTGCACAAGTGCTTGCTGGTGAGAAGTCTCGACAGGCCGCGCCATGGGCTTGAAGAGCGTGACCAAGTCATCCATTTGATGGGCGCTGAACGGCCAGGTGGGTACGCCTGGAAAGAGAACCAACCATACGAGTGACAATGTAAAGGATGTGACAAGAAAGAATGTTACCTGACCAATGAAATATCTCATCTGGCGATGGAAAGTCTGGGTCTGCCCCGTTTTTTCCAAAAGATACTGGACAAATCCATCACCAGCAGCAGAAGCACCCAGTCGATGGTGCCGCTTCACTGCTGCAAGCAGCGGGGCCTCTCTGTTCTCACCTGGGACCAGCATGTTCAAGCTGTCTACAAGATCTATGGCTGCGTACGCAGTTTCCAAGTCCGACTCCGTAATGGCTTGCACGAGTCGCGCCATTCTCTTGCCGAGGGTCAGAGCCCCGATCTCCCATCCTCGACCGCACAGCTGCGACAAGATGAGCCTGAAACCCGGTAGGCGAGGAACGAACGCTCCCACGTCGATCGATATTGGTGACTCGAGCGCAAGTAGCTCCTCGCCTTGGTGGTCGTAGACAAGAGCGCAAGGACTTGGAAAAACCAGAGCAATGGTCACCGCTCCGGTAGACTTTGCGTGAAGCTGCACTAGCTCTTTGCCGCCGCTGCCCTCTCCTGGGGCAAACACGACAACGAAGCTCATGAGGTTGGCTTGTGGTTGCTCCTCTTCATCTGCGCTAGAATGGTGAGCGTCGTCTACAATAGTGAACACGGGAGCCAGCACACTATCTCCTCTACGAATGGGCTCATCATCGTGTGAGCACTTATGACCACGAAAGATCATTCATCGCTTTCCGCCTCTTACGGTAGTTGTGCGTGGAGACCCAAAACTGACTGTCTGCCATGCCTCTCATTAGCACGATTGGATCACGGAGTGATTGCATCCTGTCATCCTCGACCTGCACACAAGTTCATGAGAGATTCGCTAACATATGCAAACATCACCTCAGAGTTGCTCCCCGGCTTTCCCCTCGGCCGCTGTCGCTTCATCGTAATCCCAAACCTAAAATGAAGGATAGCAAGCATAGTTTTTAAAGGTTTATAGGTCCTTGACTTGCTTGTTCTTGAGATGTTTCAGCGTGCCATGAATCTTATAAACTTCAAAGGTGGCATTGCGCTTGTTTATGATGGAGCGTGCGTATTGGCAACAAAACTCTCCTGGAAGGTATAGGTGATGTCGAGGGGTGGCAAAATGCGCTATTGTTTTTGCTTGTGAAGGAACACTTCCATGTGGCTCTTTGGCAAGGCTGCCAAAGGTTTTCTCAATTTAATGGAGGATTTATTGGAATTGTCTCCATGTTCCTCACCTGCAATTTCAGAAGTTTGCCAATTTCCATTGTTTTCATATTGTGTATGAGCTTGGATCATATGGAAGAGATAAACATAAGTGTACAATTTAAGGGTTTATTTATCCAGTTTTACAACTATCTGTCTGTGTATTCTCTTGATTCACTTGAGACAAATGTCCTTCTTAGATGATACATGACTACCTGTAGCCCAAAAATTCTCCACCAGGCCCTTTGTCAATTGCGGTACTCAATCACTCCTTTGCTTATGACCATCTAGTGCCTCTCTACAACTTATGATCCTTATCATCTTCCTCCTTGCTCATGCAGCTGGTAGGTTTCTTCTATGAATCCCAAGAACATTTGCAAGAGTAGTGTTTGGAATGTTGTCACGACCAATGATCATGGAAGAATTGCTCTCTTTGCAACTAGATGATCACATGAACGTGCTCTCTTCATTAGTCGAAGTGATTGATGAATGTTGACGCACGTTTTCTTCTTAGAGTTGCTTGTCAAAACATTTCCTAGTAGACTAATTATTGGGCAAATCACTTTGTTGTGGCACGCTAGAAAGCTATGGATGATCAATGATTTTGTATATGAATCATCCTGTCAAATAAGTCCCCTATATCTTTGACCTTTCTTCTTACTTTTATCATACTCATATACTCATGATGAAGTATTCCCGGCTTGATATAGGTGATCTTTGGTTTTATCATGATCACTTGAAGTAGTGGCCATCCTGAAGACAAATTAAGCACTTTGGTTAGATATGAAAGTAATTAGAAAAAATATGTATTGTTGTTGCACCTCTTGTTATTGCTGCTACTAAGCTCACTGGCCTAGAAGGAGTAGGGCTGTCAGGCATGATCCAGCTACTACTTGATAGGCACGATCTTATTGCTGCTAACTAATTGCTACTGCTCCCTTGGTTGTTGCTACTACTGCAAATTGCTGCCACTGCTGCTTGCTATCCACTGCTACTGCTTCTTGCTGCCCTTGCCATTGGTGCTACTAGTGTTGCTACTTGCTGTTCCTGCTGCTTTTTCTTGCTACTGCTGCCATTGTTGGTGTTGCTGCTTACTGTTGCTGTTGATGTTGATGCTATTTCTTGCTTGCCATCAATGCCGCTATTGCATATTGTTGCCCTACTACGCTTGTATTGGCCATTGCTATTGGTGTTGCTACTGGTGCTGGTGCTGCTCCTTGCTACCACCACTATTGCTAGTGTTGATGCTTGCCCCACTGTCGCTGCTACTTGCTGCTTTCTACTGTTGCCTCGATCACACACTAAGATGCTCCATTTCTAAACCATAGCCGAATCAATCCACAAATGTAAGCAAGGTGATGGTAAGTAGAAGGAAGAGGGGAGGAGAAGAGGAGGATTGGGAAGATGAGCACTGCATCTAAGCTGTCCCATGACAATGCTCTACACCTTCCATGTTCATAAGCGATAATCCAAGGAATTCCCAAGTTTGTGAAATTTAGAAAATTTCAAGTTTATGCAATCTAAGAAATATTCTCTTTTACCAAATCAATAAGCAATCAATGTATTTTTGGGCACTGCCTGAGGTGGTGATGTGGCCTGCTATATGGTTCCTGTAGGTTAAGGTAAACAAGAACCATAGCATTTGGGGGAATATTAAATTTTTTATTTCATCACTTCTTAAGTAGCCTTTAGTTTTTCATTAGTTTTTGTTGTTCTGCATTAAAATTTAGCATAGTTTTCCACATAAGACTTTTTTTAAATTTGAAAATTGCAACACTAAACCTCTATATTGTAGAATTAATCTTCCACCACCCAGAAGCTTGGATTTGTACTTTGGAATTTCTTGTGGGATATACTCCTTAGTTTATTCAACATTTTTCAATCTACCTCAATAAGTTCCTTGTTCTTTATGTTATTAACATCTGCAATCTTTTATTTTTGTCTTTCATTAAGCATCTAGAGATCTTGCAAGGGTTAGGTCTCCTGGAGCATCACATAAGGATAACCTTACAGTTTTGAGGCCTAGGTCATGATCCGACATTAGAATGCCCTCTATATAAATGTGAAGCGTCATTGGGTGGTATAAGTTTTCTACTCACTGTTGTGGACCATAGTGCATGACCCACTCAAGTGCCAGAAGCAACATAACACTTCATCTTTGTACATCTGGTTCTTGATGTCTTGAGAATGCTCTACTACTATGTTCTCATAAGTTGAGGTGGGGTAGTACATGCCCACACTGGCAACAGCTAAGAGAGAAGGTTTTTCAGCTAGCAAGCACACTTTTAATGCCTAATTGATGCACAAAAACCACAAATGACTCCTCATGGCCACAAAAAACAAAAGGTGGAGGCATAGCATTGTAAAGCCTTCTACTTAATCCAGTGGGCAACATTTGCCTCAGGACCTCAGGACCTCCCTATTGGGCAAATGTGGTGAAAGTGGCTGGCTCTAGAGGAACTGTGCATGATGTCTTCAGCTATGCATTGCCAACGCCCCTATACCACATCCCAAAGACATGATCTGAGACATTGGCTGCAGTCATACAACACAGGAAGTAGAGAAGAGGGATTGCTAGATTGCCTGGCACCTCCCCCCCACCCCCCATATAAGGCCCTGTTCCACCACTAAAAGTCAGCCCTCTAGCTCCTCTAACCTAATTATGTTTCAGTTGGAAAGTCAAGCAGTAGAAACGAGCCAGATGTTCACTCCCAGATGACAAGAGTGAGAGACATAATAGAGACGATAAGAGACAATGTACTGTAAGAACTCTAAACCATGCTACCGGTATATCCCCAAAACATTATTTTCAAGGATAACCAAGTGGAACTGGAGCAACAACTTCAACTTTGCGTCTTACAACTTCAAGGGCACAGTGAAGAGAAGAAGAGCGGAAGCTACGATGGTGGATGACTCTCAGGATAATCGTATATATCATAGCTATATATACATGATGAAGAGACACGCCTCTAGCCTACACTTGGATCAGTGAAGTGGCACTCCTGCCACCTAGGATCATGTCATAGAGAGCGTATACCTCAACACACAGGTGCAATGCACTCATAATTTGTTGGTACTGCTTTCTTCTACAGGCTGCTACTGCTTTGTTTCCCAGGCTTACAGATCATAGCCCGGTCAATTACTTGTCCGGCTTGGGCCTGCTTTGCTCGCTGAAAAGGACATCTTTGACGAGGTGTTTGAACTGGCCAAAGAGTACTTTAATTAGGGAGACCCAACATCACATACACTTGAGATTCTAAACCTGAAATTAAGAGTTTATTTTGTCTACAACCAAGTGACCAAAGAGTTTTGTCTGAAATTCTTCCTCTGAAATATATTTTTTGCAGCAGCACCTAGCAAGAGCTCCTCGCGCATCACATGGGCTACGTGGGAGTAAACATGGAAGTTCTCGTGGATTGCCGCAACACCGTCTTTGCGAAAGGCCTTACATCACTGGAGGAGCTCTGGTGGTGGTGTTTTGGACGCCATGGGTTCTTAACTCAATGTACTCTGAAACGGAGATTGATATTGTCAAAGGGAACCTGCAGACAATGTAAACTCCCCAGCCCAAGCCGGACGGCATTCAGGGCTATGATCTGCAAGGAACAAAACACCAAAGCCATGTCTCAACGAAAATACCCACTGCAGTAAATTTTGACAGTTTGATAAATTCTAGGGCTCGCGAGCAACAGCGACAGCACTCGCAGGAAAACAAAGCTTTGAACCCTATGCGCATCTTTGAGGATGGCCAAAGAGCAACACACTTGCTTTTTTGGTTCTAAACCGGTGTTATCTTAAAAATTAAGAGATTTTGTCTGACTTTGCTTTTCAGAAGTAAAGAGTTTTGCCTGAAATTCTTCCTTTGAAATACTTTTTTGTCTTGTGATAATTTTATTAACTTTTTAATGAGTTAATAATAATTTTATTCAGTGAGTATTACCAATAGACCTTTCTCCTTGTATATTTCTTGGCGGGTGCTACCCAGGCATTATATAGCTTACACAGCCCTGGAGAAACATAGAAGAAGATCCATCATGGGAGCCTCCTCTATCCTTAGCATTTTTGAGGGCGCCAAAAGCTTTTACATACCACCGCACAGCTCTTATCATGTTGATTTGAATCCTGCTTATGATGCAAAGTTGGATGCTGAAATTGACAAATGGTGTATGGATTTTTTGAACCTGCATGATCTCACTGATCACAAGACTCAGTTTGCCATTCAGAGCAAGCTTGGAAAACTTGCAGGCTTTGCATACCAAGCCATTTCTTCAGAGAGATTGAGTCCCATCGCAAAATTCTTTTGCTGGTTGTTTCTTGCAGATGATTTTATGGACGATCCTTCTGTCCCTGTCTCTGACCTGAAGAATGCCACACTTGCATACAAGCTCATCTTCAAAAACGACTATGATCAAGCCATAACTCTGGTGGAAAGTAAAGGCCTTCTGCGGCAAATGGGGATGCTTAACGATGTCTACACTGATCTAAAGGGTTTCATGAATCCTGGACATAAGACCCGGTTTTCGAAATCCATGATTGATGTGCTCGACATGTTTGAGGTGGAATCAAGTTGGCTTCACAAGACACTGGTTCCCAACTTTGAGATTTATATGTGGATGAGGGAGGTAACAGCTGGGGTTATCCCTTGCATGGTGGCAATGGACTTCCTTAATAATTTTGGGCTGGAAGAGGAAGGAGTGCTAGACGATCCCCATATTCAAACGCTGGAAGTGATTGCAAATCGCCATTCGTTCCTAGCCAATGACATGGTCTCCTTCAAAAAGGAATGGGCTTGTGAACAGTACCTCAATTCTGTGGCACTGGTTGGTTACAGTAGCAACTGTGGCTTAAACGAGGCAATGGAGAAAGTTGCACAAATGGTTCAGGATTTGGAGAAAGAGTTTGCTGACATCAAACAAAAGGTTCTCTCAAACAAGGACTTGAACAAGGGAAATGTCATGGGGTATGTGCAAAGCTTGGAGTATTTCATGGCTGCAAATATAGAGTTTAGCTGGATCTCTGCGAGATATCATGGGGTGGGATGGGTTTCACCAGCTGAGAAATATGGTACCTTTGAGTTCTAGTTTGCTTCTACTTGCATTAGAAGCTGGTGCTTAAAATAAAACTGATACTCATACAATTGGTGAGTATGAACAATAATATTTTGAATTTCTCATACAACTGTTGAGTAATATATTTTCATTTCTTTCTCCACTTTTTTCTTTCCGTACTAGACATTTACTTTTTGATACAACAAAAGCTTAGCACCACAAGTCTAGCAAAAAAATAGAGAGAACTACGTTAGATATTTCCAGAGCTTACTTGGAGACTGGCAAGCATCTTCATTTCTTTCTCCACTTTTTCCTTTCAGTACTAGACATTTACACAACAAAAGCTTAGCACCACGAAGTCTAGCAAAAAAAGAGAGAGAACTGCGTTAGAAATTTCCACAGCTTACTTGGAGACTGGCAAGCATCTTCAGAGCCGCGTCTATCTTTGCAGACTTCCTCGGCTTCTCCTGCGAAGTTTCCACAAGTGATTCTTCTCCAAAAGTCACCCTTACTTCAGTTGTGGTCGCCTCTGTCCGGAAGAAACTGACTTTCATGCCTTTTCTCGCGCAAAGCTCCATAAGAATGCGCACAGGATGGAAACGTAGCGTCGCTGGAGTGACCAAAGGCGATAACAAAGGCAGCACCACTCTCCACAACTTCTCCAAATCGAAGTTAGTGTCCACAAAGATGGCACCGGTTATGCTTTCAAGTAAGTCTCCAAGCACCTGAGAAAAGAGAGGCCAGAATGTAGAGACGACAACCGGAATATGTTTACGTACCTTTGGGGACGACAAGTCGTCGAAGCATGAAGCGTCTGGTTTTTCCTTCACGTTTTGCACGAACTTTCGGATCTCGCAGTCAAGTTCCACCGAGCCATGCTGAAGATGCTGATGTAAGCCGTGCCTCACAACCAGCCGAGCAAACCATTTGTTGTTCACGGCTGCAGACCGCAAGTCTGTGAGTGTTCCTGGAGGTAATCCTGGATGAGTCTCGAAGAGGTGGCGGGATACAAGGAAGTCCAGGACGCCATCGCCAAGGAACTCTAGCCTCTGTATTTGTTTTCGATTAGAAAAAAAGCCCAGCTGATAAACCAAGGAACTTACCTGATAGCAGAGCAAGCAGTTCGGTTGAGATGCGTGAGTTATAGCTTCCACCAAGAGGCTCCTGTTTTGAAATTTATACTGCAGCTTATGCTCTAAAGACTCCAACGAGGCCTGGAGATGTTGAAACGATTCAGCCGGCAGGGAAGCTTGGCGAGCCGAGGCAAGCAAGCCTATGTCGAATTCTATGTCAATGCCGAGCTGTTTCATAAGCTCCATGGCGCTCGGAGGTCCAGACGTGGCCAAGTATGCACCGATAAGGGCCTCTACAACGTCGGCGAGAGCTTTCCTTCGAATCCCCCGATGGCCGTTGGCACACGATGAAAAATAATTTTCCTCGTTTTCATAGCTCCCCTGCTGGTGCCTACATTTTGATGAATCAGAGGTAAGCATGCCCGGGCCAGTCCAGTTGGAAGGATTGAATTCTTCGTCGCGTATGTATTCCTGCAAGGCAACGTTGAACATTTACACTACAGGAAGAAAGATCGCGCATACCGCAATGCCAGATGATTTTGCCAACTGATGTAGCGCTGCATTACAAGTAGCGCGAGACCTTCTCGCACTGAGCTGGCCTTCGTGTTTCTTATCGTAGACCAGGAACAGCTTTTGAGTCACGACGTATTTGAGAAACGAGTCCCCTAGAAGCTCCAAACTCTCATATGAGAACTCTTCGTGACATTTTTTGCTGGTAATTGCTTCGAGGATCTGGAAAACCATCTCACCACTAAGATTCATTTTCAAGGATAAAGATGAATACCTTCGCTGCAGGAATCCATGGCCACAGTGGTGAGCGCAACTGTATGGCACAGACGGTCGAAGTAAACTGGTGAAGAAACGAAGGGACGAAGTATAACGATCGAATTAGTCCGGACTTAATCTCTAGGCACAGGCACAACTCAGGTGGTAGCTCTACAAAACTTTCTTCTTGTCTAGAACCTGCAACATAAACTCCGACACTATAAATTGTAATTTCTAAGCAAATATCGAGTTTTCACCATGATCTTCCTTGGGTCTTATGAGGAGATTATGAAAAGCATGCGTTGGCTTGGCTTTCAGCAATGGCTGATCTGGAAGCCGTAACGTCCTTTGATACCTGCAAAAACGTGAGCTTGGTGAGAGAAGGTAGGCACAGGCTGCGATAGACGCTCACTTGTCTTTGTAATAATCTATGTACGTGAAGCCCCTCTTCGGTAGTAGTGATGCCGCAGTAAAATTCTCTAGAACCCCTGTGACACAGAAAAGCCTGCCATTGTGCACGGTAGCTACGACCATGTCCTGGAGCGCAGAAGAATGTACGTAGCCATTAGCAGTGCAGAGCATGTCCGCGTGCGTCTTCTCCCCCACACCATCCCCATCTATTGGAGAAGATGGTGAGAAATTACTACAAAGTGTCCTGTATACCCCCGCAGTCGCATGAACACTCGTCCAATCAATACTGTCGTTGTCATCATGCACAGGTAGCAGAAGAAACGCTTGAGATTTGTTCCAGAGGATTTCTTGAGGACTTCCCGAGCAGCGTGCCAAACGGTTGAAAGCTCCGTTGAGCAGTAGCTCTTGATATGCCTTGGCTGCCTTTACCTGTATCAGAAGAAAGACGTGCCTTTATCAATCGTGTCTCCTATTCTTAATGAACAAAATCCTTCGTACCTGATTGGCATCCAGCTGAATTGGCCCGACGCGATGCACTCTAGCGTTGACAACTCTATTTCTTGAGAACAGGGTCACTTCAGAATCGGTTACTTCTGCGTCAATGACGCAATTTACCAGAAATCCAAAGTTCGAGTATGTTCGTGATTCAGGTGGCTCAATCACGAAGCAGATTTTATAAAATTGCAACTGCACCTCTGACTCGTTAAACACCCAGCTTCCCTCGAAAATGAGTGGCTTTGCAGTCGAGAAGATCTCCTTGCGTTTTCCTGCAATCCGCGCGTCATTAATGGCCAAGCAAACTTAATAGAATAGTCGAATACCTGATTCATTCTTCCGCATCGACTGGTCTTCTTCATCGAAATCGTCAACATCTGGGCAAAGCGTGTCAGGTCTAACTTCTCCCATGTCATAAAGTTTCCGGCAAGCTTGCAAACACGCTGCTTTTTTCGCGAGCTGTTCTGTACGTCTCAGAGGACCTTCTACTGAACGCAGAGGAGCGTTGGGTGGAAATTCCACAGTGCAGACGAACGAATCTTTGAACGAAAACTTTGGTTTTGCATTGTAGTACCTGCGGCACAGAAGATAAGCATAAGAGAGATAGACGAAAGAAATACCTGTCACCAAGACGAGCACAATACTCGTGAATGAAGCTCACGCTGTCCTGCGAACTTTTACAAGCACCTGATTCCACACGGAAAAACTCCAGGTCACCTTCTGGAGGTGCCTCTCTCGTAATATCCATATAATTTCGGAAGATTACTTGATCTTCCACCACTCTTTCGCTTGTACACAACTGGTTAAACAGGTTCAGCTGCTCTACATTCCCCCTGTACGTATCAGATCCATGTTTAGAATGCAATTACAAAGGACAAACTATTTACGTTTCCAGAAGCCATACATAAGTTGATGATAATCGGTTTCGAGCACGTCCTCGGGATTGAACATGGCTTTGCAAAGTTTGGCATACGTCAAATCTGATTACACCGCAGCATGCCTGGACATCAAGACCTTCTTCTGCAACTGAGGTCGCTATTAGCAGATTAAGCTACAAGATATACAAGGAACGTCACACATAAAAAAGCGTAAGAACTACCAACCTTGCCACCTGCAAAAGAGTCTAGAACCTCCTGCTGCTGGGTTGGATTTCTTGCATCCGTATCACGCACACCAGTCATCTAATCACAATGGAGATGAGAGAGAAACGAAAGCTGAGATATGAGCTTGGCTAAGGCCATGGCCACAATCACACGTTCCACAAAGACAATGCAACGCATGTTTGTAATGCCCCTGAAACATGATATAAGAAAAACTTCCAGGGAGGGCAAAACTAACCTCAATCTTTCAAGCACATCCAATAGTACCAGTACTTTCGGGCTTAATGTTCCTGAAGTCATTTCCTCTAAGGTCGGATAAGAGCGTGAAGATACTGATTGTGTGTTTGAATGGTTTAGACAAACAAAAACAAAAACAGAAAAGAAAAGAAAAGAGAGGTATTGAAGAAACATTTTGTAAGAAACACTCTTTCAAGCTTGTTTTCACCTCCTCCTCCTCCAATGAGACATCTGGCTTCCATTTTAAATGAAAATGGGGAGAGTACCCATGAGGCTTGCGTAAGGCCATGGTGTTCTGAAATGTTATCCCAAATGTAAGCCATAAATTTTTCCTTTCCAATTTGCCAACTTACCTCGTCCACCCGACCAACACTGCCTTGGCTTGTGCTAAGTTCCTTTGCCAAGGTTCTCGCCTATTGTACCAGCTCCTACTTGGTCCTATTTGGTTTCAGCTACTCACTGCACGAGTAACGGAGAGTTAGCCTTCCATCCACGGATTCCCAAATCCCTCCCAATCCCCCTCCCCGGGTTAGACTGGACTTAAGGTTCGGCTACACTCCCCGCAGGCATAAACAACCAAGCACACCAAGCCTCCAGGTTCTTAACACCCCTTGGTACAACAAGACTTGATCATGGGACCCTCTAAATCCCAAGCCTTGGGTGCAACACTTGCTTCGGGACATCAGGGTGAAACACCGTGGCCTAACAGCTCGGTATGGGTACCTCTACCCCCCCACTTCCATCCCGAAGGGAAGGCCCAAGCCCCTAGGAAGGGCGAGGACTAATGAGCCACAAGGTACTCAAGTGGGGCACCACTCCACATGAGCCGGGAGCACCGCAGTTGGTTTCCCTTTCGGGAGTGGGAGCTGCTCTTGAGCACTTCCCTGGGTGGCCCCTCCGGCACCACCCAAGCCCATGCTCACTCCCACCCAAGGCCCCTCGGCCCCAGTCT